CACACACACACACACACACACACACACACACACACACACACACACACACACACACCAGCTAATTCCCCCAATAGAAATTGGGTAAACAAACAAAATCATCATAATTCTTGTGATTAGCTTTTCATTTATCCCTGGTGACTCCCAGGCAGCAGAATCAAGGTTAGGCATCCCATCGAATGTGTCTCAGCTTTTCCTGGTTCTGAGTTTTACTTGATGACAGCACCAAATTCCATTCCTACGTACCGAGTCATTATGTTCTATCGTTGCTTGTGAAGCAGGATCGGCCAAGCAATTTTCTTTTTAAAAGGGAAGGATCAGCAACAGACCCACATTTAGGAACTGGCTGCTTGGAGCCTTCCTGGAGTGCTGGGCAAAGGACGAATGTTGAGTTTTCTTTTCTCTTTCCTTTTTCGTAGAAGTAAGATTTTTAATCGAAAGACAAAGCCTTTATCTTTCGTTTTGGACATGAAGTTGCTGGCCAACTATTGGGGTTGTGACAACAATCCTAGAGTGTAAGTACTCCGGTCTCTATGTATCTATAGCAAGAATTTGCACTTAGAAATCCAGCCCTTCCCATGCTCCCCGATAGCAAGAGTAGACTCACCAAATTTAAACTGGAAATGACCTTATAGACCCACAGTTTACAGGAGAGCAGACAAGGTCACACACAAGTTTCCAAAGAGGAGCCTGACCTAATCACACCTTTCCAAATAATGACCTGAATTAGACTGCCCCCAAAGTTAGGGTATACCCCTAAAATGAGATCTCATTGAAAGAATAGAGAGACAGAGAGAAAGACAGAGGCAGAGACAGAGAGTCAGAGACAGGAACAGAGACAGAGACAGAGACAGAGATAGAGATAGATAGACAGAGACAGAGAGAAAGATATGCTGAAAAATCCTATTGCTTTTGGTCACATTTAGGGCATACACATGCCACATTTGGGGGCAATTGTGGCCCTCATAGTGTTCTGTAATACAGTGGTTCTCAAATTTTTTGGCCTCAGGATCCCTTTTTGCACTTAAAAATTATTGAGAACCCTGAAGAGCTTTTATTTAAGAAAGTTATGTCTATTTATATTTAGCATATTAGAAATCAGAACCAATAAAAATTTTAAAACATTTAATTCACTAAAAATTCCAGTAAACCAAGTAACATTTTTATGATCAAAAAATAGTTATTTTAGCATGGAGAAGAGAAGACTTGGCAGGGCATGCTATTTGGCTTTGAGAGCATGAAAGGTTGTCAGGTGGAAGAGAGATTCTGCCTCGTCCTGCTTGGTCCCAGGCAGTAGAACATGAGGCAGTGTCATGGAAGCCTAGAGCTGGACACGAGAGGGACCACTGAGGTATTTGGCTCAACTTCCTCAAGTTCCAGGGAAGAAGCAGATGTAGGGTTGGCGTTAGCCAATGCCTCCTAACAATCAGAGCTGTTTAAGAGTGAGTGGACCCCCTTAGCAGGTGGTGGGAGGGTTTCCCCTCATCGGGGGTCTTCAAGCAAAGACTGAATGACCATTCATGGACTGTGTTGTAGAGAGGCTTAATCAGGCACTGACCTCTGGGGTCCCTTTCAGCTCCGAGGTTCTGCGGCTCTTGCCCCCTCTGAGGCTGGGTCAGTCCTGCTGCCATCGCCTGCGCAGCCCCTGAATTCCATGTCACCCGATGTCTTTCAGGTATCATCACACCATCCCAATCATCAGCCTCTTTGCCCTTCGAGAGAGCTTGGCCCTGTTAGCTGATGAGGTGAGCACTTTCTCCATAGCCCAGCCCCTACTGAGGAGGGGAAGGTCGAGAGAGAGGAGGAGGAAAGCCTCAGTGGAAACCTTACCCTCTTTGTGTAGATTCGTTCACCTGGAGCTTTGCTGGGGGAATTTGGATTATATTCTATTCCAAAGTAAATGAACCCTGGATGTGTAACCAGGAGAGGCAGTGTGGTATGATGGGCAGGCAGCTGCCCTTTGTGGCAGGAACACTCGGGCTCAGGGTCCTCCTCAATGTCCTGTGTGTCCTGGGAAAGTCATTAACCTCCCAGGTGCCTAGGAAGCTCTCTAACATTTTAACAGTTGTATACAGAATAGGACACACATTTTTGGACGTGGCCAATGGGGGAATTTGTTTTGCTTGACTCTGAATATTTCTTACAAAGGTTCTTCTCCCTCTTTCCCCCCATGGGGATGAGTTAAAAGAGAAAGAAAATAAATGCTCATTAATTGAAAAAATTACTAAGTTAGACTATAACATTTGATGATCTCAGGAGTTCCCTAAACTGATAAAAGCATAGATTTGGACCAATATGATGAACTCCGAAGGCTAGGAGGAGGCTTGGGGGATGTGTTGCTGGTCCTAGCTTAGTGGGCAAAGCACAGGTCTAGGAAACAACCAGATCTGAGTTCAAACCCTACCTCAGGTAATTCTAGATACATGACCCTGAGCAAGTAACTTAGTTTCTCTTTGCCTCAGTTTCCTCATCTATAAAACAAGGATATTAGTAACATTAAGGTGTTGTGAGGATCAAATGAGATAACAGATGGAAAACATTTTGCAAATCTTAATTTGCTCTCTAATCAATAGCTATTGTTGTTACTGCCATCATCCTCTGCCTGTAGAGGGAGCCTCAAAGGGTTCCCATGGCTTAACGCAGCAGAGCACAGCCACGGTTGGTTTGATGACCAAGGCCTTCCTGAAGGACGTGCAGAGAGAGAGAGATGATGGAGAGACATCTGCAGTCTCCAGAAAGTTCTGAGAAGTTGTATTTCCCACAGCCCATCCCCCTTTAAGCTCTTCCTGTGAAGGGTATGCTCCCAAGCCCCGTAGAGTTCCCCATCCTCACACCAACCAAAGGCTGACCACAGGAAACTCTTCCTGAGGATGGACAGAAATGTCTCTGCTCAAGGCTGAGTCTGTTTATTCTTATTCAGACTTTGACCTCGCAAAATCTTCCACAAACATATTTCTTTTGTTTAAAGACTGGGCGTGGCCAGCATCCACAGGTTTTATATTCTGGTATTTTTGTAATATGGGATTTTCCCCTCAAACGTTCTTCTCCAAGCCCGCTCCAGGCATGGAGCCAAACTGAACACAATCTTCTAGCTTAGGGATTTACCCCCAAAGATCACAAGCTTCTTCCTGGTCTATGACCCCATGTCTCTCACCCGTGGATTAGTGGACATTTTTCAAAAGTCGCTAAGAGTCACATAGAAATAAATCATGAACTATTTGTGGCTCAGGCAGCCCGGATGTGAAGAGAGGGAGCTCTGGGAAGAGGGGGCAGCAGCTCAGGATGGCTGTGGAGGACCCTAGGCTGGTATTGCTGGATCTCCCGTTGCCTGGTGGAGGAGAGGGTCACACTCCGGGGCCCACAGAGCCAGGGCGCTTGTAGAATGGCTTGCTTGGGCTGCTGCTGAGGCGACAGGGAAGGATCCCTAGAAGGGTGAACATATCAGTGCTCCCACAGGCTACCCCAGAGGGCTGCCTTGATGAGAAGGGAAGGGAGATTGGGAGGGACACGGCCAGCCACCTCCATCTTCTCTTGTCTTGGGGGAGACAGTGGAAGAAGTGCTGAATTCAGAGCCCAAGGGCCCAGGCGCCAATCCGCTTCTTTCCCTTCACTTTTCTGGGCCTCAGTTTACTCATCTGTAAAATGAGGCATTGGCCCGGATGGCCCCCGAGGTCCTTTCTGGCTTTAAATACATTCTCATTGTCTTCTCTTCCTCTCACTCCTTCCTTTTCCTCCATGTCTCTCTCCTTTTTCTCAGTCTCCTTTCTCCCTGTTAGACCCGTAAGGATCCTGGGGTCCACTGTGACTACGGGATCTCCAGCTATCGCACCTGGGAAGTCCTCATCTTTCCTCTTCACATTTCTGTGGGGTTTCCTTTCCCTCCCCCGTAGCAGCGCTCCTTCTCCACAGCCGCTGACAGTCAAGATCTCCTTTTCTTTGTTCAGGGCCTGGAGAAGAGCTGGAAGAAACATCAAGAAGCCACGGAATACCTGCACAGGGAGCTTCAGAAGCTGGGCCTCCAGCTCTTTGTGAAGGAGCCGGTGAGGCTGGAGGGCTGGGGCTCTGGCAGGCGAGCCCCTGCAGGGCGGGAGAGCTCTCACCCACTGCAGCTCTGGGTTCAGATGCCGCTGACATGCACAAAGATTGGGGCCTGAGCTCAGGGCTGTGGAAAGAACATAACAAGGAAAAGAAACCTGGGTCTTGCCCTGGAGGGGCTTCCAGCCCAGGGAGGGGTGGGTAGGATCTGGACACAGGCCTTTGGAAAACGGGCAGGTTAGTGGAGCCAGAGGAGACAGGCTTGGATCCTGGCGCCCCGACTTCCTCTCAGTGGATGGATGGAGTGCCGGGCTTGGAGGCAGGAAGCCCTGGGTTAGAATCCTGCTTCAGACACCAGCTATAGGAGCCTAGGTCAGTGACTTGCCTCGCAGGCATGTCGGGGATTAATCTGCCTCAGTTGTCCAAAATCCTGCACCCTTCCAGGGCTTACAAACAGTAAAAACCCTGTGAAATTCCAGACACGGTCATCTCTGTTATGATGATGTCCTCACATCATCCCTAGCACTGGCCTGCCTCTCTTTGCAAGGGGACAGAGAGCCAGGCCTGGTGGCAGGCAGAGAGCCTGCCTGTACTCCCTGCCTTGAGGGAAGCTGAGGCTGGTGGGTCATTTAATCTCGAGAATTCCGGGCTGCAGTGAGCTGAGCTGACCACGTGGCTGCATTATCTGGCCTCAGTGTGGGGATGGAGGGAATGGCCCTGGGAGGGGGCAGAGGGAAGGAATGGGGACAGCTTCCAGAAGGGACAAACCTGTCCCGGTCTGAAATGGAGCAGGGGGAGAGTCCCATGCCAATCAGCAGGGGCAGGGGCCAGGCGTGAGCAGCCAGCCTCTGGGAGATGAGGACACCCAGTCTTAAGAAAAAAGAAAAGAAAGGAAGCGTATAAAGAAATAAGTCAATTTGCAAACCCCAAAAGCACCATATGAAGTCTTGTTATTGGCAACAGCAGCAGCAGCTATAGCCAAGTAGACGCAGAAGCCAGGAGGGTCTGGGTCCCGTCCATCCCAGGGCTGTCAAACTCGGGGAGAAACTGGAGGTCACTAATCTGCTCCTAAGGGTCCCTGGAGGCTGCATATTAACGCAGTTTTCAAATACAGCATTACCTGTTTTATTGTATTTTTAAATATATTTCATTAAATACTCCCCAATTACATTTTAATCTGGCGAGGCCTCAGGAGAAGACAGAAGGCCTCATGTCCATCCAGCAGGTGTGTGACCCTGAGCGGGCAAACCTGTCAGAGCTCTCTATCACTACAAGACTCCAACTTGCTCTAAGAAAGTACTGACTTGCATTAGTAGAAAGACTTTCCTCACGAGGAGTTCCCTGGACTGGTGAAATCATAGGCCCAGCCACCTTTCCTAGCCTAGGAGTTTCATGCGGTCAATGCCAAGTCATTTATCCATAGGCAGTCAAGCTGAGAATCTGTGAAAAGTACTTTCGGCTAGAACAGTAACTAGGATTGGTCACCAGAGCTGTGCGTCAGGCACTGAAATTTAGAAATGCAGAAAAGTAGAAATTAACCACACAGCAAATTTAGAAATACAGCAACCAAACTTAGCAGCTCATTAGCAAGGGGATCTAGTTAAAACAAACTGACAGTTCCCTGACAGAAGTCCCCCAGGGGAGCTCCCCTGAAGCCTAGTTCTGCCTTGCTCCTTTCCAGGTAACAACCTCTCCAGCAGCAGCCTGACAATGTCCCAGTCTGTCCACCCCCACCGTGGGTCAGTGTCCTGGAATCTCTCCCTCCACTGCCCCGAGGGTCAGGCTCTTTTCCCACCAACTGAATTCATCTTTGAAAGTTAATTCCTTTGGTGCTGTTGGACACGAGACCCTGAGTCGCTGGTCACCCACCGTTCTGGCCTCAGTAGGCCCAGAGGAGGATCACCCTGGAAAATCCAGGCCTAAATGACTCCCTTCTGATCTGCTAGAGATGTCAGGATGGACCCCATGAGCACCGGTATGTGGTCTTGTTTTCCAGAAGGCGAGGTTACCCACGGTCACTACAGTGGCTGTTCCTCAGGGATACAACTGGAAGAACATCACCACCTACCTCTGGAAGAAACATGACATTGAGATCGTTGGAGGCCTGGGACCTTCTGCTGGCCTGGTAAATTTGGGGAGGCAGGACAGACGGGGTCCAGAGACCCGGCCACGGAGCTCCTTGGGCTCCATGTCTATGTACGCTCCAGGCAGCCTCCAACCCCTCCGCCGCAGTACGGTGGAGAGTTTTGGATCTGGGGTCAGGGCAACTGGGTCCAAACCTGGACCCTACCACTTACTGCCTAGGCACCTCCATTCTCTGGGCCTTGGTCTCCTCCTCTATAAAATGAGAAGCTTGAACTCTAGAGTTCTTCTGGCTCTAACCTATAATCCCGTGATCTATGGTTTCATGTTGAAGTAGGGGAGAACTCCAGATGTCTGTGACTTCTGTGTGTGTGTGTTGTACATGTGTGGTAAGATGTGTTCATCTACAGAGTCACAGAATCTCAAAGTTGGATAGGACCTCTAAGGTCATCTGGACCAACTCATACCTGAGCAAGAATGCCCTTCAGCACCACCAGCAAGAAGTTATCCACATTCTGCCTGCAGGCAGAAACTACTACCTTCTACATTCCATTCTGCTCTGGGATGTATCCAGTAACAAAAATAACAACAGCAATAATAGTTGGCGTCTATCTAGCGCTTCAAGATTTCTGAAGCACTTAACATATGTTATCTCATTTACACGGTAGGTGCTATTATTATCCCCACTTCACAGATGAGGAAACTGACACTCAGTGAGGTGAAGTACCAAGGATTTATTCTCTTACTCCGTGCCTTCCATGGGGCGAAATATCAAAGGAGCAGGTCATGACAGCTGCCTTCCTGGACCTGGTCATTTCCTTGGGGGGACGACAAAGAGTCAAATAAACAAGTTGATCTAGGATATAATGAATCTCCACAGACTCTCAATGCAGCTGGGGTTTGAAGACGCAGCAAGGAGGGAGAGGTATGGCTAAGCAGCCTTGTGTCTGAAAAAGGGCTGAGTGTCTTAGTGGACCTCAAGCCCAGTAAAGCAGTGATGAGATAGAACAGACAAAAAGGCACAGCAGGAAATTGAGGCTTGATGTAAGGAAAGAAGTTTCAAACAGTTGGAGCTATAGGGACTCTACAGGCTGCCTCAGGGAGGTCCCATGAAGTGAGCCTGGAAGGAAGGTAGGGGTTCTAAGAGGCGGAAGTAAATAGGTAATATTATCCCAGGCATGGGGTTCAGCCTGGTCAAAGGCATGGATTGAAAGCCAGAATCATATAGTCCTTATTTTACAGATGAAGAAACTGAGGCTCAGAACAGACAAATGACTTTCCCAAGGTCTTTCAGCTAGGAATTTGACATCAGATCTTCCTGACTCCCAGTGCAGAACTCTACTCCTTCTCTGAGCTGGAACTTCGATGCTAAGTTTGAGTATTGGCAAATTGGTCAGTTTGACTGAAATGCTCAGTGCAGAAAAGAGAGCGGTGCCATAAATAAGCCTGGATGGTCAGCCAGACCTCCACTGGGAAGGCTGACCTTTGCCTGGAGCTGCCACACCACACGTGTGACTGTGTGTTCTGGTGCTCTCGCCCATCGCAGGTGCTGAGGATTGGTCTCCTCGGGTGCAATGCCACCAAAGCCAGCGTGGACCGCGTCATCCTGGCCCTGAAGGACGCCCTGCGGCACTGTCCCAAGAGCAAGCTGTAGCGGGTCCAGCCCCCTCCCCCACCTCCTCATCTGAAATAAGCTGAACCTGAACTTGATTGGGCTGGGAGTGGGTGAGAATCTGAAGGAGCAGGGCCAGAGAAGGAAGGGGGAACACGCTCTTGAAAAAGGATGAGAGCAGGTGAAGTAATGGGGCTTGGGGGCCCTCTCTCTGCTCCCCGGCCTCCTTGTAGGTCCTCCCTTTGTTCTGGTGATGCCTCTTCCTCATACAGGCCAATCATCCCTAGGTTTCTTTTCTATAGAGCTCATAGCCCCACACTTCTGGGAAATGGCCTTTGCAGCTTCTGATGTCTTGAGGGTTTTCTGGGGCTGGGAAATTGGGGTCAGCCCAATGCCGTGCCTATGTCTTTCTTTAATTAAAGAACCTGTTTGGTCTGCCCTGGCCTTTCTGTCCCTTTCTCCTTGCAGCCCCGTCCTCCCCACAAAGAAGACTAAGCAAAGTCATGGTACGACAGCCATCAAGGCCCCCTAGAAGGACCCTAAGGAAATCCGAGAAACTTGAGAACAGCACCAAAGTGCTTTCAACGAATGCTGAGCCCAGAGTGGCGAGCAGGGCTCCCAGTCTGGGACTACACACACCACAAGAAGCCCATCAAGGGCTTGTCTGACAAATTGCCGTATTAGCCTATGGAAACTGAAATTCATCAATCTCTGTTTTCTTACACACACAATGGTAAAGGCCAGAATGAATGGAGAGCACAGGAAGGTTTACTGGGAGGACTCAATAGTGTTGAGAACCTTGAGTCAAGGATTTTGAGCAGACTAAGTTAACAGGGACCAACCCAAGAGTGCGAGCGCATGTGTGCGCATGCGCGCACACACACACACAGACACACACATACACTTTACCGCTAACTTTATTCCCATCTCAGCAACGGCGCCATCCATTGCCCCTCCATCAGACAGCACAGAGGCGTATTGGATAAGACATTGGATTTGGAGTTAGGAAAACCTGGGTTCAAATCCCTCCTGACACTCTTTCTCACTTTGGGATTGGGGTAGCTAAGTGACTTAAGTCTACCTCAGCTCCTCATCTCTCAAATGGAGATGATCATAGCACCTCCCTTCCATGCTTGTGGTGAAGATCAATGAGCAACCTGTGGAGAGTGCTTTGCAAACCTTAAAACTCCATGAAACTCAAAACCCATTCTCATTTTGCTCTAGTTTTATGATTTCATCATTGTCAAAAAATTAACTCCCGATGTGGAAATGCCCTCCTCTAACGCAGGTTGGCCGTTCTTCTGTCACTTAGTGGCTTAACTTCTCAGTGCCCCAGGAAGCTTCTAAGTAACTTGTCTGGGGTCCCCCAGTCAGGCCGAGTCAGAGGCAGGTCTTTCTGACTTTCAGGCCAGACCTCACTCCACTATGACAGTTTGCCTGTCAAATTCTCATTTTATGAATGAGAAAATCACCCTTTCTGGTTTTATTTACTTTTGAAATCAGCAGGCTCTCTTCACCACCCACCCAACTTCAAACCGTCAGCTCCATAGACTAGGAACTGGAGATGGGAGGGGAGGGAGTAGGGGGGTAGGCGAGAGCTGGGGAGACTTGATGGGGGTGGGGGAAAGAACCGAGCTCATCAGCAAGGGCTGGGAGTGGAGATGTGGGTAGGGAGTCCCTGGTCTGAGCACATGTGGAGGATGGGTTTGGTTCTAGGTACTACATTTGTGAAAGGGTATTACTAATCTGTAGAGTGCCTGGAAGAGGAGAGCTAGGATGGTGAAGGACCCTGAGTTTTTGCCATAAAAGAGTCATTTGAAGGAACAGGGCACGTTTCACCAGAGAAGACTCAGGAAATATGAGGGCCATCTTTAAGAATTAGTAAGACTATTTTGGCCAAAGGGGCATTGGACTCACTTCATTCAGCCCCAGAGGGCAGAGGCAGGAGCTGTGGACACTGCAGAGAAGTCGGAAAAACCTTCCTGACTCTGAGAGCCGTCCCAAGCAGGACAGGCTGACTGCCCAAGGGGCCGTGGGTTCCCCTTCCCTGGAGGTCTCCAAGTGAAGGCTGGATGACCACTTGCTGGGGGTACAAGCGAGGGGCTTGTGACTCACGGTCAGGTTGGAGCAGGCAGCCTCCCACCTGGAAATAACAATTGGGCCAATCCGATTGCTTCATTTGAGCAAGAGTCATTCAACCTCAGATTTCTGGGCTGCGATTGAAAAGTTGAATGAATTTGGAAATGAAAAGGTGGCCAAACAATCCCTCTTTATTGATCAGTCGGAGAGTTTGGGGAATTGAGTCCGATAACCTGGGCTTGCACACTGTGTGACCTTGGCCACGCCACTTCACTTCTCACTCTCTTTCATAGACATTCTGGGCTGAGTCCTTACACCTACAACTACAAGAGGAAGATATGCCTTAGTTTTTAAAGCAGCCGTTAAACCAGTCCTCCAACAGTGTGGTTACTAAGGAGTGGTTACTCTAATCCTTCGATGCAACCTGTAATTCAGAATAATGTGTAGTGATCGAGTCTGTGACTGGGCTAGAATCAGCAGAGAAAACACTATAATACCTACCCCCACACACACACCAAACACAAAAACAAAACCCCCCGCTGGGTGGCCAACGCCCACGCTTGCAGCCTTGATTTAGAGAAGCAATATCCTTTCTAATCAGAAGCCCCTGCACCTGCAAAGCCCAGTATATTAAACTCTTAGTGCGTCTTCTCGGACCTGGCCCTGTGTCCTTGCTACTGGAGGGGTTAGCTGCAGGACCTTGTCTCTAATGAGATAGTGCTGAAGGAGCCCGCATCTGACTCCATTCTCCTGAAATTTGCCCCAGAAATCCAGGGGCTGGCCCCATCTCCCTTTCCTAGGCATCTGCTTGTCTGTGGGAGGATTTGGTGGGTTCTGAGTGGGTCAGGCTTGGTGACTGCTGAGGAGGGCTGACCTCAGGCTAGCCGAGGAGCCTTGGGTCTGGCAGCCCCTGCCTCTTTGTCCCAGCAGATGTGGCATTAGCAGAGCTGGCTTTCAGTCCCACGTGACTCTGGGAAATCACTCAGTTTGTTTGTCTATAAAATGAGGATAACTACCTCTGCCTTGCATCTGCTTAGAGGGCAATTTTAGATGGTTGTTTTTAAACTTTAAAGTGTGATATTAATGGGAATTCTCACTACCACCTTCCATCATCCTCCTTGTCATTAGACAGAGCAGTCAAGAGACAGGATTTTGACCCATTGCCTCTCCCTGGAGCTGTCTTTTCTTCACCCGTGACTCTTTTCCCACATTTGCCATGCTCGGCACAGAGCCATAACTGGGACAAGGCAGGAACAAATATAGAGTCAATGGCAATATTTTCAGTCTTTTAACAGTACAGAAACAGTAATGATAAAAATCATATCTAAGATTCAGATAGCTCTTTACATATCTCATTGATCCTCCTAACAACCCTATGATGCAGGTGCAATTATTGTCCTCATTTTACATATTAGGAAATTGAGGCTGAAAGGGGCTTGTCCAGGGTCACATAGCTAGTGTCTGAGGCAGAATTTGAACACAAGTCTTCCTGACTACAGGTCTAGCACTCTCTCCACTACTAACTCCCAGAAACAACCAGGCCTAGCACCTAGTGGGCAAGAATGACACGAGTTTCATCATGCCTTGGCAGCAGGCCATTAGGTGGATGAGCTCTTACCTGTGCCAGCCTTGCTCTCTAGCTTCCTCTAAGGGTCTCTACCACGGTCTTCCCCAATTAGTGAATGAAGGATACGTTTCATGACATCAGCCCCAGAGCAATTTTGCACCATCTGGCCTTGATGTAAAAGCTGTTAGTTATAGCTCTGTCTAGGCACATAGGAAAACTAGGAATTACTTCTAGAATGCTGCCATGGGGAGGGATTCTGAAGAGCATGGGGGCACTCCTCTACATTTCAAAAGGAAAAACTCATAAGAGAAAAAGGTAAACACTTAAAGAAAACCAGAGGCTTGCTCCATCCACAGATCCCATACACTGGCACTTCTTTATTTTAGATCAAATATGTCACATTCCATTGCTAAAAGGTCACCTGAGAAGTCTACTTCACGCTCACATACCCATTGTCACTGGTGGGTACGCTTGTGTGGCATGGGGGTTGACCCCAAATCTCTGTGAGGGTAAGTAAAAGCAGCAAGTCTGAGCACTAACCCTAGAAACCAAGGACTGCGCTGTGGTGTGACAGAATGTGGCTCTGTCAGCACCGCTCTGGTGGACTTCTGTCACAATGGGAGAGCCCAACATTGAGATATTGATCCACCGTGTCTGAACTTCATACAGAGCCCATCACCTCTTGCATTCTGGGAGAACAAGCAGAATGCCAAGATCTCCCAGGAAACGGATGCCATTCCCTTCCCATCTTGTCCCATGGTGCTCTGAGGCATTGTCTGAGGGCGAGGAGGAGGAAGAGAGAGCACCCAGTGGAGGAAGGTCCCTGTAAAGGCCCAATGACCTCATGAGAAGATCTCAAAAAGTCTGGAACCTCTCAGGGATAAAAGAGCAATACAGCTCAGCTTGCAGAATTCTCCAGTTTCTTGGTCTTCAAGAAGATATTTTGCATCGCTGAAATCCGATCTTTATCTTGAATATTGTAGACCTGGAACTAAAGAGAAGAGGAGGGTGAGAAAGAGGAGAGGCAAAGCTTCCTTGTGTGTGTGCACTTCCACTCAGACAGCGCTCGTGATATTTCTCATCCAAGCAAGAGGAATGCCCACTGTCCATTTGGACTACAGCTTCTGTGAGTCTGGGCGGCCACACTCTGGAGCCTGGTTACACTTGGCCAAGTTATAAGAGTGGAAAAATAAGCCCCAGGCCCCCAGGCTCTGTAGTGATTCCTAGTCATACCATGCTGCCATGCTCCAGGACCTGAAGGTTGTCTAATTTGTCAGTGGGGTGGTTGCACCATGAAGGCAGACCACAAGACTTCTCTGACTCGAGAATTGGTGTGTTCAAAAATTTCAGCCCCCCAACTAGTCTGGTGAGGAACCCACTAAACCCGGGTCCTGAATCTGCAGACATGGGTTTTCCCCAGCTCAGGCAGACCTGACAGAGCTTCCGCTCAGTTGGTGTGGCCTGCGAAAGCCCAAGGTCATGAACAGAACACAATGAGACACCTGAAGAGGATTTCCTTTGATTCAATTTAGCACATCTGTCTTGGGTGTCTGTTATGTGCCAGGCACTGAGCTAGACTCTGAAGGTGTAAAGGCGAAACAAAACAAACAACAAAGATGAAAGAAAAATTCCCTCTCTACTTGTGAGGGTCAGGAAGGGATGTGCAACAGGGACATAGAGGGCTTTTGGCAGCGGCAGAGAATTGGCAACAAAATGAGTGCCTTTCAGTTGGGACGTGGCTGGAAAAATTATGGGAAGGGGCATAAGCCAGTAGCACCTACCATGTGCCAGGCATGGT